ATTTTTAGTAGAGACAGCGTTTCTCCATGTTGGCCAGGCTGGTCTCCAACTCCTGACCTCAGGTGATCCACCCGCCTCTGCCTCCCAAAGTGCTGGGATTACAGTCATGAGCCACTGTGCCAGACTAAAAATTTTTTAATTTTTAAAATTATTTTATTTTATTTTATTTTATTCTATTTTTGAGATGGAGTCTTGCTCTGTTGCCCAGGCTGGAGTGCAGTGGTGCATGCCGCCACGCCCCACTAATTTTTGTATTTTTAGTAGAGATGGGATTTCACCATGTTGGTCAGGCTCATCTTCTACTCCTGACCTTGTGATCTGCGCCTCCCAAAGTGCTGGGATTACAGGCGTGAGCCACTGCACCCGGCCATTTTTTTCTGAGATGGAGTCTTAATCTGTCGCCCAGCCTAGAGTTCTGTGGCACAGTCTCAGCTCACTGCAACCTCTGCCTCCTGGGTTCCAACAATTCTCCTGCCTGTGTGCGCCACCACGCCCCACTAATTTTTGTATTTTTAGTAGAGATGGTGTTTCACTGTGTTTGCCAGGATGGTCTCGATCTCCTGACCTTGTGATCCACCCATCTTGGCCTCCTAAAGTGCTGGGATTGCAGGTGTGAGCCAGCGCATCAGGTGGAGTTTCAGGAAATCTGCATGAAGACAGCAAGGGTCTTTTAACTCCACATTGCTCAGAGTGTAATTTTCATTTTAGTTCTAAGGTACCGTTTCATCTGTCTTCCCCTTACTGTCTTACAGCTCAGTAAGAACACTCAGACTTATACCTTCACCATCAGCCAAAACGTGTTCGTCACCAACTTGAAACCAGCAGCCATCAAGGTCTATGACTACTACCTACCAGGTGAGGGCTGGCCTGAAATGAGAGCTGAGAAATAACCTGCGTCTTCCAACTTACTTCTGCCTCATTCTTTGTGGCTTCTCTCTCAATTTTGCAAATACTCCTTCCCAAGCCAAGTAGCACATAATTAAATTATGTAATCTCCTAAAACATTTTAATTCAATTGTGTGCCATTTTTAAGTTTTGTACACTTGAGACATTTTATATGATGTGGTCCTTAGACCAAGAAGAGAATAATGTGAATGAACCATTGTTCTATTTCTATTATTTTTACTATGAATAATAATTTGTCACAATGTGCAAATGTTAGTGATTGAAACTGTCTTGTAATTCCGAATATGCTCATAACCTGTAGAGATTCTCTGGAAAAGGCTAAAGCCGTGCTTTTATCATCCATTTTCCCTCTAAATATAGGAGGCCCTCAAAGTAATAATATGTTTTATTTCATTTTACAGATGAGCAGGCAACAATTCAGTATTCTGATCCCTGTGAATGAGGTAAGTCCAGGGAGTTATGAGTTAGAGTGAAGTTATGGGTTAGAGTGGCAGAAGTTAAGAGGACCCTTGTTTGACTTATTGTTATTGTCTTCTTTTTCTTTTATTTATTTATTTATTTATTTATTTTGAGATAGGGTCTTGCTGTTCCGCCCAGGCTGGGGTGCCATGGCGGAAGTTGAGTGGCTCACCTCCCAGGTTCTAGTGATTCTCCTACCTCAGCCTCCCGAGTTGCTGGGATTATAGGCGCCCACCATAACTTAGCCTTGCTAATTTTTGGATTTTTAGTAGAGACAGGGTTTCACTATGTTGACCAGGCTGGTCTAGAACTCCTGACTTCAGGTGATCTGCTCACCTTGGCATCCCAAAGTGCTGGGATTACAGGCATGCGCCACCATGCCCAGCTAATTTTTTGT